TCCTGCTGACTTGCTGTCTTTTCTGCCAGGTGTGCCTGCAGAACTGACTTGCTGTCTTTTCTGCCAGGTGTGCCTGCAGAACTGTCTCATGGGCTGTGTGAGCTTCACAGACAAAGACACTGAATCATTAAGGTTGGAAAAGACCTCTAAGATAATCCAGTCCAACCATCAACCCAACACCACCATGCCTGCTAACCTGTGTCCCAAAGTGCCACATCTGTGTTTTTTTAACACCTCCAGGGATGGTGACTCCACCACTGTCCTGGGCAGCCTGTTCCAGTGCTTGAGCACTCTTTCAGTAAATATTTTTTTCCTAATATTCAAGCTAAACCTCCCCTGGCACAACTTGAGGCCATTTCCTCTCATCATACCCCTTGTTACTTGGGAGACCAACCCCCACCTGGTTACAATCTCCTTTCAGGTAGTTGCAGAGTGATAAGTTCTCCCCTCAGCCTCCTTTTCTCCAGGCTGAACAACCCCAGTTCTCTGAGATGCTTCTCATAAAGCTTGTTCTGCAAACCCCTCACATAAGTTGGCGTGGCCATGACTTGGTGATCTCTTTGGCAGAGGTAACATTGACTTTCTTTTGAAAACTTATCCTGACCTGACAAAGAAGTGACTCGATTTCTGCTGGTGTAGCTGCCTGAACTGGCACATTGGGAAGTCAGCTGTGCCTTGAGGTGGTGCAGGGGGAAGCAGAGGTGGAGCAGGGCAGACCCTGTAAAAGGCAGCAAGTTTTAACTTAGTTGTGATGCTGCAAGCCTGAGGAATGTGTTAAACATGAGATGGTGCCTTTCCTATGAAGTCATGGGTATTTATTTCTCAGCCAGGGGCATGGGGGGGTCCTCAGTGCCAGCCCATTCCAGTAGAGTGTTTTTGTTTAACAGCACCAGGCTGTTAATTGTGCTCTCTGGGTGGTGGTGAATCTGTAGAGATGGGTACATGGGAATGATTGAGAAGCTGATTTGCTTCTGATCAATGGGGTTTTTTGCTATAAGAGCTATAATGTCTTACACTTGTGAAACTTGGGTAGGCTGTTCTGATGCTCAGGAACTTGCCTGTGGCTTGACTTGGAAATGCTTCTTGGAGAGCAATGTGACTAGTCCCTGCTGTTGCCTAGGGATCCCCTTTGCCTTGAGCTGGGTTTTTTTAATCCTTGCCTGGGCATGAAAGACTAGCAGTAAAGCTGCAAACTGGTATTGATTACTGGCTTGTATCTTTAATTGCTTTAAAATGCTGGGCTTTCTGAGGAATTACATAAGCTAATTAGTTGAGAAAATAACATGAAATTAAGTAAATCTATGCTGAAGTGATTCTCTGACACAAAGCCTTATTAAAAAAATTATTTGACAAGACTTGTTTTCTTGAGGCTTTTGGTGGTTGTTTTTAAGGGGTATTTTATGGTTTAAAAGCCTGAGAATCTTAGTTTACTGGGCTGTTATTTGGAAGAAATCAGTTAGTGAAGTGGAAGCTTAACTTCAGAATGTGGTTTTTGGTCTGTTCTGGGTTGTTGGGTTTTTTTCCATTAAGGCTTAGTCTTGAAGAAATGAGAGGTGGTAGAGCCAGTTTACCAACAGGCATAACTTCATGTCTCTGGGTTATGTTGAAATTTTCTGGGAAGCCGTAGCATTTCTGCAGTTATAGTTAGTTGTGGAACCACATCCATGTGGTATTCTTTATTTATTTATTGTCAATTAAAATTAGTTACATCTTAAAAACCATTGGAAGTATTAACTAACATGCCCTCTTTTTTATAGCCTACGACTGAGTCAGATTATGTATAATTTTATAGTGTTAAGTGCTTTTTCTGTTCTTTGCAAGGTACCTCACTTCAGAATAGAACTGTGGAAGTGATGTGCTAATCTTAGCTTAGCAATTTCGCAGTTTCCTGAGTTGTTTTTTTCATCAAGTGTAAAGATGTATGGAAAACATTCTGTACAGCACAGGTTCTTATTACAAGACTCATTATTGATCTTATGATAAACCCATTTTTTGTAAAATTTACATGGATGCTGAAGGAGCACTCTCATTTCCAATATCTAAAAGAAATAAGCATGTGTTTTGGTAACAGCAGAACCAGCCCTTCCAGCCAGGTGTTTAGTACACTTGTATTTAGTGTCCATGTGCTTGGTTGGGGGGGTCCAATTTTGAGCTCTAGCATCCTGCTCCACCTCTTTATCCTCTGTTGGTTCTGATCATCTTACTGCCTGAAGCTCTGAGGTCTGTTTACTGGTACAAAATAGGGTCACTGCATGAGCTTGCTATCTCCTAGTCTTAGTTTTCAGCTTAAAATAAACCTGCTACTTGGACTGTGCTATATTTATGAAGGGAGGAGTATATCCCAGAGAAGATAAGGAAGGATCAAGCCAGAGTGTTGTGGCAAAAACGTGGTGTGTTTCTTGGTTTGTTGGCTGTTGTTTTTTCCTTTTATTGTTTTCCCCCTC